TACGCACAGTTAAAAGGCAATTACTTACATCTAGAATTACAGTTAAACGGTAATTACAACCGTTTATAGCATGATACTGAACAACGAAGGAAGTGATCTTTAAGCTGCGATCATTAATGTGCATTTTAATACGCACATACAGTCAGGTAAATACATATTTATACTACAAGTGCAACGGATATAGCTCTGAAAATGCTATAAGGCGCATTGACTCGGCGAAAAAGAAAAGAAAAAAAAAAAAAAAATTAAAAAACGAAATTATAACGAAATCCATTTCTAGAACCACATATTTGAAAAACAAGATCATTAAAAAAAAATTTATGTATCCTCTAATATTTCACGAATTCAATAAAAATTTATAATTAAAAAAAAAAAAAATTAGAGTAATTCTTAAAAACTATCATAGATGAAATTTCACGCGGATTTGAACGGTAATTTTCTTCGACTAGCTAACTTTTAACAGTTGAAACTCAGTTAATTAATCCTGGTTTAACTTTTAACAAAAAAAACTTAACATCCCAAATTCTCGTACATCTTTCTTATCGAAAAGCAAACTGAACGCATACTTTCACCTCGTCTAGTAGTATAAACCGTACACCGACTCGAACTGCGTCAGATACTTGGCGAACTTTTTATTGCGTTTCTTATCGAGCTACGACAACGCGGCGTGTCGTTCGATCGATCGATCGGCTCGTTCGAGGTGATTTTCTTGCCTAGGATAAACCGAGCGTCGCGTTCGCCGAGCGTAAACGGTTTCAAAGAGGAAGGTGGGAGACGCGTGAGCCGGACGAGAGAGAAAAGCTCGTGATGCGAGAATATCTCGAGCGTACGACATGGCCGACCACGCTTAACAATTTGCACGAACCTCGCTTTTATAGCTGAACAATGTTTCATGAGACTGCATCCAAATTATCTCGCACAACGTGACGACCGTTACAACTTTTTCTCGGGTCGCGTTCTACGAAGTTGCAGTGGATGATTTGGAAAAACGAATGGATCAAGTAAAACGAAAACTTTTGATCGAATAATTGTAAAAACTTTCGAGATTTTTCCTTTTGAAACATCCTGTTGAAAGAACACAAGTATTTCGCTCGTGTTCTATCGTACGTACTCTTCGAGATTATTCGATTATTATTATAGGGCTGATTCTTAATAATTTGCTCGTGAAAGGACAAATGTTTGGAATCAGGTTTAAGGCTCACGATAACGGTCTTGCTTAACGGTTTTGCAGATAGTCAACGTGACTCGATTCCGTTTTCTTCTTTTTTCGGATTATTCCTACTCATAGCTTCGATTAAACGATTATAACAATTATAAATTCTTTTCAAGGGAAATTCAAAAATATAAAAATATATCAAATCATATACCGCGCTCAGGTTAACTACAACTTGAGATTTTGTCAAGTTTATTGCACAGACCTTTGATCCAGCTTACTTAACGGATAATTGGATGCCTCGTTTAAAATCGTGTTACAACATCGAGGCAGTTATCTGCTCGATGAAAGTGGTCTACCGCTACGAGTTTCCAGTATCAAGTTCGATCGAGTTCGATTAAGTGTCTCTTCATTACGAAAATATTTTCGTTTCGCAAACCGAAATTCCGAATTCTCGATCGAGAATCCGAAAGACTGTTCCGAGACGTGTATGTTTGATCAAAATTCTTCAACTTCAACTCGATGGATCTCACGGTGAAATCGATGGAAGAGAAAAACTTCTTTCGACCGGGAGAAGTTAAGACCGCTGTACTTCGCGACTGAACCAAGTTGCATCGATCGTATACTGTTACCCGCTCTGCGGAGAAGCTTCTTGCGGCTTGATCTTCCGCGTGCGTGCCTCGTGTACGAACTCGCTCAAATGGCGATCGATGCCCCTTTTATGGGGACTAATATGCCAAGTCCACCGGTCGACTCGTCCGATAGCGGCGGCTTCGTACATGCAGCGATCCAACCGGACGCAGACAGCCTGCCGACAACCCAACGATTGACAGAGATCTTCGTACTTGTTCGCGGTAATCCTGTCGTATCGCCTCGATAAGACGAATTGCACTCTTTACGGACTCTTTCTACGGGTTAAATTGGATCGTTCGAACTAATAGGCGATCGTTCGAACGGCTCGCTTTTCAAACATCTCGGATCGATTATATAAATTATAAAAAAAAGGGGGATAATAAAGAGCGCGATTATTTCGCAGCTATCATCTTTCAAACGTCGTTCGACGAACGTTCGACGTTTCGTCGCGATAAGCTTGGAACAATCTCGGACTAACCTTGAACCTCTCGTACGATGAGATTTTGACGACATCCCAGATATTCCGATACGATCGTGGATTCGCGTGTTTTTTCGCATTGCTTTCGTGGGAGGGGAAAAAAAATTCAATGTTCGATAACCTTGAGAAGTAGATAGATAACGTTTTTAGAATTTCAACAACAATTCAGCGTGATGCAACATTTCGAAATATTCCACAAGATTGAAGTGTAAAACGGAATTTCCGAGGCGCGTTTTCACAGGGAAGAGTACGAGTGAAACGACAATGATCCGAAATACCGCTACTCGCCGACAAACGAAAGCGTTGGATTGCATAGAAAAGTGGTGGCGCGGAGGATTAAATCATCGCTAAATCCGCGCGCCACGCGAACACCCGTTATTTCGCAGTCCTCGCGTATGATATTACGGCATTGTGATGCCCGATACACGATCGACCAGAAAAGGGACGAGACGCGTCGAGACGTGACGGCAATCCA